TCAAGGTTCTGTGAAGGGTATTTATAGAATCATCTCAATCATTATCAAATTATATTTCTCTTTTTTTTACTTGTATATTGGAAAAATCTCAGGAGGTGCAAAATGCTGAAAAAAAATCATCTCTTTCTTTGGTGTTGGACAAAAATATGTACAAAATATCATATCCTGTTTTATATTGAGTGTTTAATTGTTTCATATGTTTATTGGGTGTAGGGCTTAAATCTGTTCAAATTTTTTTATTGATTCTTTTATATATATTTTTTGTTGTTGAATCAAACGGTATCATAAGTTGAACAAAAAGACCTGTAAAAATGTCATTTCTTTCTTGTGCTTGTGTCAAAAAAAGTCAAACACTGAAACATATTTCTCATGTATGTCAAGACCTTGCCCATCCGTGCTTACCGCACCAAGTGGTTTTGACTTGTCCCCTAGTACATCTGCACAATATTTGAATCACATCTGAACTAGAACTACTGGATTCATCAAGGACACAAAGTGGGGTCAGAAGCCTGACACTTGATGTTTTTGAGAGTGTCACAGCTTGGAAATGTCCTCAACCAGTGCAGAAGCCTTTGGAAGAAGCAGGAAAGTAGGGGTAGAGGTATAAATGTGTCTCAGGCTGCACTCCTCTTTCCTGGCCTCCTCCTTCTTGACCATCACTTTCTCTTGTTTCATCAACATCACCTCAGATCATTCTCCATCAAATCAAACAAGGACAAATTGTAATCTTGTGTATCAACACACATTTAAATGGGTAGGACCTCTTCAGTTCTTCTGGTTCAAAAGCTGCAAACTCATGACTCCACTTTACGATCTCAGCATCTCCCACTCATAAACGCTCAAGTGGTTGGGTGAATGGAGCACCACCAAAGAGCCGCAAAGCAAAGAACAAGGCTCTGAGCGCTCACCTCCCCGGTCATAACCAGCCAATCTGTAAATCATATTCTGAATTTGCAAGATTTATACTTGGATACACCAAAACACACCAAGTTTATCCTGATTCACCTGGCAATGATCAACTTATGAATCTTCCAACTCTGACTATGGAAATGATCTTACAAGATACCTCAGTCTTCACCACCTATAATGCTTCAGCCCATTCAGTTAAATCTGATTGGTCACCGTTCAAGACTCTGCTCCTCAAAGACCTGGCGAATCATCAAATAGATGATAATTTCACCTTTGAATGGGAAGCGGACAATGGTGAAAAAAGTACATGGAATCAAACAATGATTTTTTTTACTGTAAAGCATTGGAAGTTTGCCAAAGCTGCTTCTGCTTTTGAGAATTTTGGACTGGATCAAGACAACCCTAATGACCTTGTCCAAGTTGGGATCATGACTCGCTGGGTGATTGGGCGGATTGAAGAAATCAAGAGAAGATTTCGAGATCCATCCAAGGTTGAACAAAGGACCCGGAGCAAAAAGAGAAGAGATGTAAGTCATGTTTATGCCTTTAGGCATTCTCCAGTCCGTTTCTGATAATATGTCTACTCAGCTCTGGAAATACCGTAAAGCCACTCTTCAGCAACATCTTCCGCAATTTCTTGACCTCCTACCCGATGCAGACTGCTGTTCTGATACAGAAGACGACCCACATCGACCCATCCAGAAGTCGATTTGTCCAGCATGGCGTAGCGTCAAGTATGGCAACTGGCTACATGAAGTGGACCGGCTATCCTATCAAGATCAATCCACTATCAAGCTGAGGATTCATCCCGCCCGCAGATTAGATACTAGGCGTCAAGAAGGCCATACAGTCAACCCCTTTGGAACTGTCTGTGCTAACCTTCCAGAAAACTGTTATGAAAGTGCTTTCTTGAAGCACTATGACCCCCTTGAAAAACTGGCCCTGGGGATATCACCCAGCTCTGCAAAACTTGATGATGCTCTGACTGCAATTGCTACACTTCTTCCCAATTGACTTCATATTAATTCAGGCTGCGTATTTTATCTATGATGTCATTATACAAGAACACACCACTGGTTCTTATGTGTCAGGTCTTTTCACCAAGTATAACTAATTTGAGAAGAATGTATGGCTAGGGGTTAGGGTTTGTGACTCATGTGACCACCATAAGCATATGTGCACATACCACAAGTTGGCCGCTGCAACTGTTTGCCTTATATACCATGTCTGATTCGACCACACAGTCTCCTGTTCCTCAGTTTCCTCTTTCATTATCACTTTGCCATGTGCATCTCCAAACTCCACATATGGCACCATCCATGGGTTCTACTTATCTTTTGTCACCTCTTTGTTCATCAAACACTGATCAGGGACTTGATCCATCCATGGACCTTCCTGTGTAATATTTATTACCGGAAATGCAGTCTGTTGTGGCGCATCGAAAAAACAAATCCAGGTCTTGTCAGGTGATCTTCAATGATTCTGATAAGAACTTGTTTTGGTTTTTCGACACGTCTGGAACAGACTGCAGTTCCGCTGATAGGTAAGATGCTGAAGGGTCCATGAAAGACACAAGTGCTTGATCAGAGTTTGATGGTTGACAAGGTGATAAGTCATCATCAGAACCCATTCCTTTTTTCCTCCCCTTGTTTTTTTGCCTCTCTCTCTACTTCAATTTTCAAGGAAAAATTTGGCTTGTAGAATGAAAAATGTGTCAGGACTTTTGACCGTTCAACTCACTTGTGAGCAATGTTATTCACCTGTTGGCTCAGGTGGTTGAATTGAGTGACAAAACATGTCTTTGTTGACCAAATACGTGTTTGTCACTCAACTCAATCACCTCAGTCAACACGTCAATAACTTTCCTCACAAGTTAGTTGAGTGAACAAAAATCACAATGATACGTGCTTCATCAGAGTGTTCATCAAACTCTTGCTTGAGTGGTTATACTCCTATTATCCGGGGAACCTGTCCCCTGTTTTTGGAAGGATGAAGATGCACCACCAACTTGCCGTGCAGCAAGAATAACAAGCGGGATCTGTCCGTGAAACAAACTTCACAATGCGACAGATTCCGCTTGTTATTCTTGCTGGCGCATAAGCTGGTGGTGCATCTTCAACTTTCCAAAAACATGGGATAGGTTTTCCTGATGATGAGAGTATAATCATTTGAGTTTTGTAATTCAAATTGTACTCCCCCTTTGTGCCTTGACTTTCTTTCTAAATCAATTTTCATGGAAAACTTCTGCTTGTAGAACACAAAGGGTGTCAGGTCTTTTAATCAACTTTAGATCATTTGTGAGAAAAGTCATTGCCCTGTTGACTGAGGTGGTTGGGTTGAGTGACAAGAGCCAAGTTGTTCACCTGTTGACTGAGATGGTTTATTTGAGTGACTATATCTGTCACT